GTTAAATTAATATATTCATATTGATACTGAACAATGTGTGTGGCATATTACTTTTGTAGCTAGTAGAACTGTACCCCTATCTCATAAAGACATTTGCTCTAATTGGGTACCAGCAGAAACACATAGCTGGTGATCTCAGACTGATTTGAATTCATATGAACCTATTTCAATTCACTTGAACTATATCTTAAAATAAGAAAGTAAAAGACGCTACACTATTTTTATGAAAAAAAACTTGTTCAACTTAAACTTGTCATAATTTGAAAGGTGTTCATGTTTTGTTCAAATCATTAAAGGAAAAGTAACTTGTACATGTAGTGGAGTAAAGTAAATATATTGGAGTAGAAGTATAAAGTAGCAAACAATAAATACTCCAGTACTATAACAGTATTTATACATTATTAAATATCATAGGAACGTTTATATATTATATTGCAATACATTATACCGCCTGATCCTCAAGTGTTGTTTTGAAGAGATTCAGTTTCTTTAAGGTGTTTTATTTCTGAGTGCTCACACGATGAAGCCGACTCTTCCTGTTATCAGGCTCATCTACTGACTCTATGACAGATGTGAACAGAAGTGTAAGAGAAGCAGAACACACAAACACAAAACACAGTATTCTTCATGAAAATTTGACATTTTAATGGAAACTAAAATCGTGAACACTGGAAGTTTTCTTTTTGTATATCGACTCTATTACATTGTTTGGAATTTGAGGGTTATTATCATGCTTTAAAAAAAACATTGTAATGTGACACTTCTGTTAAATTCCAAACAAAAACATAAACAGACTGCTCACTTAAAAACGTAAAATGTCGACCTGTAAGACATTTGAGAAAGAAAAATGCTGTTGCCTCATCTTTTAGGGGGGCAAGAGATGTCAAAGTGAAAAGGAGGAGCAGACCAAAAAGAAATCCACACGCACAACAGCCATTTGAGGTGACACAGAAACAGAACAAAAGATGACTCGGCGCAACACATCGCCTCTTTTCATGACTAAACCTTGTAGACACATGTTGCCCTTTTTTTTAATTATTATTATTCATGTGTGAACTCAAAAACACTACCTCTCAGGTGTCTTGCCCCCTCAATTAAAACATTTCCACAAAAAGGCAGTTTAAAGAAGGGACCGTTTTTAAGTAGAGCACAAACACCAAAGTCCAGCATTTCCCATTACAGACGATTGATTACTGGATGAAGGAGAAGCAGCACTTCTGGTATTTGTTTTATCTTTTGCTCTCACACACCGTCAAAGTGACATTCAGCTGCTACAGTAGTGACTTCTGTTCTTCACTATAAACTCCAGCCTGTTATGACATCATCAACACGCGTCCCCAGTCTGTGCGCTTGCCCTTCACTAGCTGAATATCTGAGTAGTGTACCTTTGGCGATAGCAGATTTCAGAGTTGTTGAACCACACTTTAATACCTCACTCCCTCACAACATGATCACTACAAATACAAAATATATTAAGAGCAACTCTGGGATGCAGTGAGTCTCATCACTCCATTTCAACTATCTGAAGAGTTAAAGTCATTTGTAGAAAATCTGCTGGAAGAGTTCAAATATATTAACATTAACGGTGCTATTGTTGGGGGATAACATAGGTCAGTCTTTATCAGTAACGTAATCATCTAAAACTCACACAAAAAGGAGACATCTTGATTTTCTGTATCATTTATTCCTTTTAGTCTCATCCTACTTGTGCATCTATGGATAAATTAGGTTCTAACTCAAAAATAAAACCTTTTTTAAAAACACGTTAAAACATAAATTTGTTAAATCAGTTTAAATCAATGATGTGCTACTTCAGACAGTAACTCGACAAATGCACCGGCATGAGTATAGGCCAGCGAGAGCTCGTCGTCCGTCCCATTCAAACTGATTTTGGCTTACACATTTCAAAACCTACAAAACACATACAAATCTCATTGCTTTCAGCTGCGTCCATGTCGCTTGAAAGAAGAAATCATAGGATTAGCTGTAAGAAAACTTAAAACAGCATTGCAAATGTTACAAAAGAATGAAGAAACAAAAATAAATGGCACGGATATATGCTGGAAGCAGATTTTAAACAATCAAAATTGCTGTAAAAGTATATATTTTTTTCACACAGGCACCTGAACATGAAACAAAAAAGGGGGAGGGGGGGGGATTGAAATATAAGAGGAACTTGCATATAATAGGAAGAACTCGCTATGCACACACCCACAAATACAACGAGGCCGAGCTCGTCACTCACTGCCTGGAAGCCTGCATCAGTCCTTGAGGTGATTGCACATCCTGAGGGGACGGAGACAGAGACTCCACATGATCAGGCTTTACTTTCTCAACAGTCACTCGTCCCCCCCCCCGATCACTGATTAACCATGTACTTGGCTTCAAGAACCTGTTTTTGGTTTGCAGGCTACAATGCTAAATAATAGCTTCATCTTAAGAAATGCATATTCAACATGGCCTTTTTGCTGTATTAAGTGCTTCAAAAGACCATCCTTGGGGTGGGAGGATGGGAGATTCTCTGATTTCCCTGGACAGGACCATCCTCTCAAAGAGCAAGACAAAATATATTTTTTTAGTTTTGAAAGAAAAAGGTCGTAAGACTACAGTAACACCACGTACTACTCATTTTAAACACCCTGTTTTACATGTAGGAGCCTACAGATGCATCCCTGTCTGTGGAGGATGATGCTTTCAGCCTGAACAATTTGGCATGTACCATTATGTGAACCTGATTGTGTTGCTTTGTTGATGGGTTATGGACAATCAGAAAAAATTCAATTGTGAGGATTGTGTAACTTAATGCCGGATTAAATGTCAATTTCCACAAGCACAGAAAAAAAACACAAGTCTAAATGCTAATGGACAATATTAAATCAAAATGCCCATGCTTTCTCATATCAACACAGTTGTTATAACTCGGAGGGTACTTTTCCATCACATGCCGTACAATGGAAGCCAAAAAGAAAGTTGTTTAAATAGCTGACTGAGATAAGACATGTCAAGACAACTGGCTCTGCACGAGTACAAGCTGCAGCGCTGCCTAAATCAGGACACAGTGGGAAACAAGTGTACTTAAAAGCTCATACCCAGTATGGAGCCGACCAATAGAAACACCACTGATGCTCAGCAATAATAAATCAATAGGTGCTTCACTATGAACACACATGGGAGAAAAATGAACCATCAAAATTGCAAGATTACAGTATAGTATACATAGAAAACAGCACGTGGAGCAATGTGATTTATCTTTTTTTTTTCTTTTCTTTTTTTAAAGGGGGAAATAAAAAGGAAATATTTTTAGAGCCCCAAATGACGCCGAGAGCACCTTGCACGCCATGACAGTTTTCCTCAAGAGTATTTGGTGTTTTGTCACACATCATACAAGACTATCTATATATCTATATCTATATATATATATATATATATATATATATATAGATATATCTATATAAAAAAAATAGGACTTCAATTGAGCATTTCCAATTTGAGTACATCACATGACAGGGGCCGTTTGGCAAAAAAACAATAGTTAACATAGTCATGGCTTTATTAACACTACCTGAGTTACATTTAATAATTCTGTATTTTTTTTTTTTAAAGTAACAGCCCAGAGCCATTCTTTCAACTAGTATTTCTTGTCAATACATATAGATCTCTCTTGTAATTAAAAGATAAAAGCAATTAGTTTACATAAAGTGCTATTGATCCACACATTAACCAAATCATATATTCTAAAGCAGTGGTTCCCAACCTTTTTTGTCTCGTGTCCCCCTACACTCATCTGTGATGATTCGCCTACATTTTTTCTTGTGTTAAACTCTTTTAAAAAATTGTATTCAACCCAACTGCTCCTTACATGAAAATGACTTGTATAACTCAACCTTAATACAAAAGCATTTAAACTTGACATTAACCCTTAAAGGTGGGGTAGGTAATTTTGGAGAAACCAGCTTGAGTGCGCTAGAATTTGAAAATACACAACCGGAGAAAATCTGCCACTTCCTTACAGAGCCCCTCCTCCAACACACACGAACGCGCACATGACCAATGAGGGCACGAGATAGGTTTGTGCACAGATGGAAGGCTGACAGGCAGGTAGGCCATCCAGTTACTTTAGCCGGGCCGGCTCAAATGATTGGTCGTGCTTTTTACGGTGCTACGGCTTCCACAGATGACATTTTTTTATTGATTTTTTGTCAAAGCATTTAAGATATTCATCGCTATTGGGATGTTAAGAGCATTCCATGGAATATAACAAAAAGTGTATCTCGAGCCGGTTTCTCAAACTTACATACCCCACCTTTAATGTCAATGAATGAAAAACAATAATGTTAAGATTCACTTCTAGCAGTTTCAACATATTGTTAAGCCTAGAGATTTTAATGAGACACTTCAGCTTGCTTGTCCTTCATGAGCTTTGATAGTTTAGGGGGTTGGACACAAGGCTTATAAAAATTGATGTTTTGATGTGTATAAATATTTAGCAATCCCTAATCTTTCTACGTACCCCCTAAACCCCCCAAGTAACCCTAGGGGTCCCCGTGCCCCCGGTTGGGAACCACTGTTCTAAAGAACAGGAACCTGAACAGTTCCTTTGCCATGTTGGATAAAGCGATCGTGATCTGGAGATGGAGATGGAGATGAGTGATGTCACAGCTGGCCAATTAGTAGTTAGCGAATTTGGGCTCCCTAGACTTAATTAGATCTTTTAACGTGAGCTCCCTAGCAAAATCCACTTTAGGATTTGTGCAACAAACTGAAAACGCACTTTTTTTTTAACAAACCCCACCAGCATTTTGGTGGTGATAACGTAGCTCCATATAACCCCTACACACTGTGTGTGGATCACACGGTGTTATTGCACACTGGTTTGCAAATGTAAAAATGTTAACAGTAAAACATAATATAATTCATCTTCACATTTGAACACTAAGTGGGTAGTTGGGGAGGGGAACCAAGAAGATTAGTATTGCCATTGTTGTTGTTTTACTGTTATCTTTGTATGGCGATGAACCTCTGACGTGTTCATTCCCTCCAGTAAACATGCAAGAAATACAATGCCGTAAGACAGAGAAGTAAAAGACCAGATGCTGAGTCAGAAAAACAGAAATAAAAATCAGTCGTAGAATGCAACACATGTTCCTTTGACAATAGGAATTGAACAGTTTGGACATAGAAAGAAAACCCCCAAAAACCTCTGTATGGACATCCTGAGTCTTGCTGCTGAACAAAGAGCTCATTGGTAGCTCTTGCTCGCTCAGTTAATTCCTAAATCAAGGATTCACATACTAGAAGGTATATATTTAAATGAGTCGGAATTTAGGACCTGACCTCATATCAATCTGCATGAAATGTACTAGAAGCCTTAAGATGAAAATATTTTTGCTTTTAACGGAGACCTGGTGTAAAAATGAAATGAAGGGGCGTCGCTTTCCTTCAGATTGGGCACTCTTGTACCTGTGCTCTGGGGTCATACTGCAGGGCAGATAACACATTAATGTTAGGGCAGACAAACAGGCAAGTAGAAAAAGAAAAAAGCAAGTGTTTGAATTCCTGGGCTCTGATATTGCCTTGAGGACTTAAGACAAGGTTCTCCCTTCCTGGATGGGACCTCACCTTTGAGCTTCCAAAGATCTGAACTCCACAACTTCAAGGCATTCTTTGCAAAGTGTGTTCTCCTTTTCCTCCACGATAGATTCAAGCTTGCACACGGATGTGTATGTAAAAAGTCTAACATATCTACAATGAACTCATTTGAATGCGTGAAGAAGAAATGACTGAGGCATCCCAAAGTCAGACTGACGGCTGCTGCAGTTCAACAGGAAAAAGGCTTAGGGAGGTGCAATCCATGACACCTTCCTTTTGTTGAACTCCCAAACATCATCCTTTAAGAGCCATGAGACAAACAACTAGCACAGCTCCAAAGTCTCAGTTGTCGTGTTGGAGAGGCACCGATCAACTCCTAACGTCCCTCCAGAGAGAGAGTGTGTGTGTGTGTGTGTGTGTGTGTGTGTGTGTGTGTGTGTGTGTGTGTGTGTGTGTGTGTGTGTGTGTGTGTGTGTGTGTGTGTGTGTCCCCTAAAGTAGTCTGTTATTCCATCAGAGATTCCAAGGAAAAATCTGTCATGCTAAACTATCAATGTTTTCACAGTTGTCACTTTATCTGTCCAACAGGATTCAGGACTCCAGGTAGATAATCGCAGCACCCAGAAGAGCAGAAGGAAAGTACTGTAAGTACCTCACTGATCAGGTCCGTCCTTGGTCTCATCATAAACCACCACTCTTTTTGGATCTACAGCAGAGGGGGGAGAAAGGTTAGTTTAGGGATACTCAACATACTTTGCCCGAGGGAAACCTTTTGCACCACGGGCCAGTGCATTAAAAAAAAAAAATAATAATATGTAACAATTGACTAGAGATGAATAAAGGTCTATAGGTTTTTCTCTTGTAGACTTTACTTAATAACAGCAAGCTTAAAAGACAAACATTTGCTCCAATCAGGGACATACTTAATAGCATATTATATATCGTTAAAATGTTTTCAATTGATATGTTTCTCTTTTTTTAATGTACACTGTCCCCTCATCCTCAATAAAGGTACAGAGATTGGATCTTAAGGTCAGTATCATTAGTAGAAAAACAAATAACCATTTAAAATCTAAATAACAACATTGCTTAATTTGCTAAAAGAAAAAACTAGTTATGTTGAAAAATATGTTTTTTCTCCAAGTCGAGTATCAAAAGTACCTTCATTGGTATTGGTAACTACACTAATCTTGACACTAAACCCGGCCCTAGCCAAATTGGCTCAAATGTGTATTCAACACAGCCCTCAACACACTGTTTTGACTGTACACCAGTATTATGTTATTCATTTGAGTGCCTTTAAGTGATTACTCTGGGTTGCTTATGTTCCTGAACTTTTAGTTATACAATAAATGTGGCATTTAACTTTCAAAGATGAACTCTCATGTGATGTTTGTCCATGATATACAGCTATCTGTGCCTGAAGGGCCCACTGTGGGCTTTAATGCAGCCTCTGTGCACATGCTGCTCTACAGTCAAACTAGAACCAAAGTGTTATTTAGGGTAAAGAAATGACCATACAAGCTTCAGGATCTTTCTCTATCACTATTGAAAGGCAGCCCTAAAGTGAAACATGGGCAAACATTTACCATCTTCTCATATTTTACATCTCATATGCAGGTGCTTTTGTGATTAATAGATAAGATATATATATTTAGATTCAGCTTGTTTGCATCCAAGTCTTGATCACCCATTTTCTTATGTTGACAATGTGCAGCTAAAAGCTGCAATGCCGGGTTTTTTTTAATGAAAAAGGGTATTTTGAAATACCAAACAGCAAAAGAGCTAATAATAATGAAATCATTCTTGTTGTTTTTTTACATTTGCATCCCATTTGGATCAGAATCAAAAGCCTAAAGCACTTGGTTCAGCACATGTATGTATGAATATAAGTAGCCTCAGACTTGGACTCCCACCAGAACACATCTTGTATTATATTACATGTTCTGACCTTTCTAGATCTAAATCTTTTTGAGAAGACTGAAGGACCTCAACATTTCTGAAAATGGAAGATGAAGAAGTGAGGGCTACAAGCTCAGTTTACCTTGTTTTTGCAGGCTGAAAATGAATTCCATTTCTGTTGAAGGAAAACAGAACACGCATTATTTCAGGTCATAAAGAACATTTTCAGAAAATGCAATACTGTTCTGTTAAAATATGTAATGTCCAAATGTATCATTTAATTTCTTAATGCATTGTTTCATACATATAACACTAACATTCCTTAAGAATTGTAGGCACTTAAAGATATCATTAAGATTTTAGTAGATCCAAAAGGCAAAGTCTGCCACCATCATTCCCGCACTAGATTCAAATTGCATTAACGCACAAGAGGGATTCACAGTAGTTATCCAGCAACAGTATTTCATTTGATCTCATAAATATAGGACTACATTTCTTCCCACTTTCTTACTCTCCCTAATCGGATAAAAGCTGTATTAAGCTTCTACTAGACAACACCGAACATGACTTCAGAATGATTCACATTTAAAGCATTCGGCTGCCAAAACAGCTGCTTTGACTGTGAAACAGTTACAAAAGACGGAGTGTATTTCTCCCATACAGGTTAGCTGTAATTACGACGATCTTCAATAATGTGTAGGATGCGGGTAATTTTTCTTATCAAAGCAATTATAGTGCCAGCAATACTAGGGATTGGCAATATATCATCATATGATAATACGAGACTTTATTATGGATATTCTCAGATCGCGTTAGATGTCTATCCTGGTTTAAAAGCTGTTCTAAAGTGATGACATTTTCTAACACAAACTGTTCTGTTTAATATTTGCCTTCACCCACTTTGTCAGCATATCTACATTACTGGTGATTATTTGTCAAAAATCCCATTGTGTGGGTATTTTGTTAGAGCACCAACAGTAAACTCTCCAATAATGTCACAATATCTATATATTGAGGTATATGTATGTTTTCCTCTTCAAGCCTCTGTGAGCTTATAGATAAAGAGTCACAGGCTACAGGCAGCACACTTAGGGATTTCAGTATTAATTGTTTAACAACTTCTTTACTAAAACAATGAACGTTTGGTGACACTGAACAACCAAGGGTGTCCCCAGATCCACCTGGAAATAAATCTCAACCATAACAAATTAAATTATAATTTAACCGATAAAAAGAGTAAGCAGTCAAAGTTACCTTTAGTGTGATAAGTGACAGCAGCTTTAATATCGAAGGAGCCCCAGCTGCAGCTCCTGCCAATGTCTTTAGTGGGAGCCTGTTGTTTGGATGAGCCAAACAACACAGTGGTTAGCTGGCCCTGTGCAGGCTTAGCACCGGCAGCAGAAACAGCAGAACCTGCACCCTTGGCCTCAACTTTTGTCTTCTGCTGGCTACATGGTTGCAGCTTGATATCCTCGTCACTCATCACACACGCAGGAAAACAAGCATTAGACGCATTGCAAGGAGCACAAGTCCTTTTCTCTGGGTTTTGAGCCAAAGTGCCAGGCTCTAAAAAAGATGGGCTCACATCAAAGCATGGCTGGGCAGCCTTGGCAGCAGCAGCCTGACACTCGCTTTGAGGTGTGACCACAGTAGTCTTGTCCGCTGCAGGCACCTGGCCACCTCCTCCTCCTTCTGGACCCAAGTTGGGGTCATTGATGAAGGAAAGCCCCCACTGATTCTGGAAGATATCTCCCAGGGCTTTCTGATTTGTCTGAGCAGCCGGTGGGTCGAGATGACGAGCACTAGGGAGCACAGGTTGCATATTTAAAGGGTAAATTAAAAGAGTACACTTTCTAAGCTCGTATGCTTCTCCATCTACAGGACTGGTTGTAGAGCTACAGTTACTTTCCAAAGGAGATGCTACATTCTCGCCACTTGAAATAGATGGGGCTGGTGGAATACTACTAGCAGCAGGAGCAAAGAAGGTACCCACTGATGGGCAGCCATTTCCGTTTCCAGAAACAGGGCCATTAGTAAAGCTAGCTGAGGTGATAGTTTTCATAGCAGACATGGGGACCTGTGACAGTCTAACCGGAGGAGGCAGTGCCTCTCCTCCACCTTGAGCTACTTTGTTGAGGTTCTCTTTCACTTTACTTGCATAACTGATCTTGGGAACAATTTTTGCACTGCTATTGTCCACAGGAAACACCGGAGGGGGCTTGAACAAAGTCCACGAGTCCTCTTTTGAAGGTGAGGAAAGCTTGGATTTGTGCCTTTCCTCAGTCTTTTTACCAAAAGTGCCAGCTGTTTTGCCATCAGAGTTTTTCCTCTGAGATTCACCCATTGAAGCCTCTGATACAACAGCCCGTCGAGCAGTTGACTGAGCTTCTACTTTATTTGCTGCTCTAAAGCCATCAAGTCTAGAAGTCACCCCCTTCTCAGTTGTCTCCACATTAAAAGCCACGTGTTCTTGTGTAGTGTTGCCCTGCTGCATGTCTTTTTCCTTTTCTCTTATCACATTATCAGTGTTCTTGGCATTGTTACATCTGGCCTTGCGTTTTTTCGGAGTAGTATATCCACCCTCAGAGCCGCTGCCATCATTGTCCTTGCTAGAATAGCCATTTGTAATTAAGCCACAGTTTACAACGCCATTTTGAAGCAACAAAGAGTCTTTTTTATCCAAAGGTTGGCTCTCATGATGATTCAAATCCAGAGCCTTTTCCTTGTCATTTTTAAGGTCCATATTCTTGTTAAGGTCCAGTCCTTTGCTGCTCACTTTTGGAACAGTCATGTACAGCTTTTGGGAGGATTTCTGCTTCGCATTTGTATTACTTGCATGTCTGTTACCATTGTTGTTGGGGGTATGTGATATAGGAACAGTATCAGACAGATGTGGATTCCTCTCCCCTTCCTCCTCACTGATGTTTACTTTTTTAATGCCTGAAAAATAAAACACAATCAGTTTGATGAAATTATACAAAACCTCAGACATGTGTTCAACTAGCTTAAAGAGAACTGCCCCAACTTATAAAAAGGTACTTAATACAAAAACGCTATGCCAATTTTTTTCCCACTAATACAAAATAGAAGTCATGCAAAGACAAAAAAAAGGTACCTCTACAACATATGTTTGGTAAAGTATTTGTAAAGCAACAATAAGAAATAGGACCTCCCTGACTCACAGAACCTAAAGAATTATTAGGATTCTTCGTGTCTATATTAGTCCTTTTTTAAATTAACCCCATTATGAATTATCCAGCTCAATCACATTTGGCATTGCAACTTTTCCTTATGCAAACCACAAATATATATGTTTGGCCTTTTTGTGTGTTCAAAGTTAACTTTCTTTACAGATAAATTAGTCCATTTTTAAAAAAGCAATGTGGCCGGGCATATTTTTAACCAGAGCAGTGAGACAAACAGATAAATTGCCATTGCTAGTTCACGTTGAAGTGTTAACAGAACGGCAAATTCAAAGATGAGCTGCGTGATCACAGTATTTAGCAAGCTATAAGCAATATACCTCACAAAAGTCAACTGCATACTGGAATGTTAATTTGAGATTATCTGATCTGACATCAAATACCAGTTGCTGCAAGATGTAATGGGAGGGTTCACAGCAGCATATATGACATATATTTGGAGTGGCAGTGAACCAGAAATAGGTCTATGCATTGCAAAGAGCAGAGACATGGGCACGGCTGCGTCAACCTAGGGCTTCAAATTCAATGGTGCTGTCCCTCATGTCTGCGGGCACAGCACAAGCACCTCCATGTAGCCTTGCTTCACTTAGTTGTATTATACAGAGGCCCATTATTATTTTATTTGCATTGCCATTAAACGTTATGTCGACAGTTACAGTGTCTGTTTAGTTGCAGCAAACCGTATTTGTATCAATTGGTCATTATCGAGTTGCTGCGTGGCTTCACGTTAACTGGACAACATGCAACAGGCCTGTCAAAGATGGCTAACGTTAGCTAATGTCAACTAGCCAGGGACTCGTTGGGCATTAGCAAGCCCTGGCACTGATAATAGTCGGCTGTGCCGTAAGACAGCCACGTAACACCAACAACATAAGTAGACAAAAGAGACCAACGAAATGTCAGTGTTGCAATGTACCTTGGTTGTGAAAAAGTATTTAGTAGCCGGGTAACTGTAGCATTAGCTCGCAGTGATATTCTAACATGGCCGACAGGAAATGGCAGCTCAGAACATTCCAGTGTAGCCGGCTCGCTTTCCTAAACTGGACACAAGCATGTTGAAATGAATCAGGTAGATATCTGCCTACTGTTCAACGCGAATCACCATGCAAGCATACTGGTTAATGCATATATAACACATGGTGACCCAGTCGGATTTCTGAAAGTATTTAGTAGTATTTGCCATAGAAAACGAGTGTTGAAACCGGCGCACAAGGTCAATCCCCGATATGTCAAACCAGCGACAACTGTCACGCAACGTCAGCTAGCCACCTAGCTAACGTATTACATGGTCTCTGGTCCAACAGTGGCTAACTGTCGGTCCAATAGGTTAGCCATTCACCCGCTGTGACGTTTCTCAAATTACCCAGGGCACGGCAAATAGTTTGATTTAAAATCTAGCTGGTATGCTCAGCACTCAATCTGAGCGGAGTTAAAAGCTAGCAAATGCTAGTCGGCTCGTTGACATTAGCTGAGTAAGGCTAGCAAGCGTTAGCTCACTTTTCCGGATGGCCCAACCTGTTTTCTTCGTCTGCGTTTCCTGATGCTGGCGCTGGAAGTGGCTCTGATCATTTTTTAGACAAGTTGTATGTTGAGTAGATTGTCTGTCCTCTCCGTGGTGGTTGTATTGCCTTTCTTGTGCCCGATCTTTGGGCTGTTCCTCCATTGAAGTGTAGAATGTCGGACTTGTTCAACCAATATGTTAGCTCACAGAGTAGGTACGGGATAGTCCAATCACTACCAGTGTAAAACGGAAGCTATTTGAAGCCTCTGTAAGCGTCAGCAGTAAACGTCTAAAAATGGCACTGTTTTGGGTGGTCACCGCCACTAAACTCCGTGTCTAGTTTTTGCGCTGAGATATGCAGGGGATATTTTGCAGAGTTTTTCGGATCTCGGTAGATGATTCACACAAAAATAACGGACACGTGATAGAAGATAAAAAAATCTTTTCGGGGTGGGGTTCGTGTGTGAACTAAAAATCATATGACCGGAGCCGCTGCCACGTCTCCAGCCAGTGGACACGTTGGTGGAGGATCCCTGCGAGAGCAGCCGCTCTCTCAAAATAGAAAAGCAACTTTATAGTCAAACATTCATAATTAATTTTCAAATATGTTACCACATTTCCAATAGAAAAAAGAGTAATGCTTTCTATAAGCCATATAGTGTGTATTATGTATTTAAAGTGAATTATAATTCATTTATTATTATTCACATGTATTGTACTCTGATTTATTATATACATATGTACACAACATAGAACTGAATGAATTATAAGCGTTTTAGGATTGCTCTTGACTAGTTTTGAACTAGTGTTTTACTAATGGGGCTTATAAGACTTTATGTACCCATACTCACCTTTTAATCCCTTCAAGAATTACAATAGCTATGGTTTAAACTAGTCAACAGCATCCATGAGACAAATAACATTCTTTAAAAGTCACATCTTAAATATTTTATGATATTATGATTGTAGTGAGCGCACCACAATGCAACATGTACTTTAAAAAGTGTAGCAATTAAGCAATATAAATGCATTTTAACTCACTACTGGACTTAAAATCACATCAGATTTTTGAGGACAGTACATTTTACTGTGTGTGGTATATTTTATATGTATATTAATTGTTCATTTTTATTTCCCCCCACAAATATCACCTTAAAAATATGTGTATTTAGGATATTTGCCCACATGCAAAAACACATAGAGAGACATATGAGTGAGAGGATTACATCATTGCAAAACATAAACCGGTATTTGTATAATCTTTCTATATTTGATCTTCTCTTACAACTTATTTCCTTGTTGTTTATGTTTGCACAATCATACACCAAAGCAAATTCCTTGTATGCCTATGTGTAAACGTAACTGGCAATAAACTCGATCCTGATTCTCGGGTTGAATTTATTTGGAATACATTTATGTCTGTTATGTTATATCATACTCTGATTTGATGATTAGATCTGGCTCAAAGTATTGGTCCTCGCATGGGTCGGTTCAGGGGATGGGGCAACGGTGGCCAAGACCCCTGTAACAATGAGCTGTAACCCCCGTCCATAAGAGGAGTTTATAATGATGATACAGTTTTAGGTAGTAGTGCCGTAACTAGCAAGTTACCAGGAATGCATTTAGTTTTTCATAATGTCATTTAATAACATTGTAGCTACTGAAACAAAAATAATGATGTTACTTAAAAATAACACCAATAATGCTATTTAATGTATTTTTGTGTGCTATGACTTCATGCAAAGCTATAAATGTTAAAATGTTCATCACTGTCTTTGTCTTTTCTGTCCTGCATTTAATTTGCCCCGCTCATAAAATAATTGGCCCCAGCACTGAAAACGAATTCACTCTGGGAGGTGTAGTTTTAATATGACTCTGTTTATTTATATATATATATTTATATACAGCTCTGGATAATAAAACCAATTATAATAATTAGACATTGAATATTTAATTATCGTGGAAGTAATTTTTCATTTGTAGAGAAAAGGATGGTTTGTTTAATTTATCATTTCACATACCATACCTCATAATACTCATAGTTCCTCTCCTCACATACTGTATGCGGCTTATATGTGGCAGAATGCATCATGGATCATGTGGGGCATAACAGAGACAACAGCGCCCTCTGGTGGCAGACATAAGGATCGGGTTGTGTACACAGCACTATACTGCACTTCATTTATTGAGTCTCATATGGGATACCTCTTGGTTATCTAATTGTCTATATATTATGTTTTTGTGACTTTAAAGAATATTTTATTGTTGAATTCTGGGAGTTAAAACACTGCAAACTGTTTTTCACCGTGTTTTGCCTCCCTTTACCCCATCAACTCAGTACAGACCGCAACTAAGATTAAGTATTCAGTATATAAAGGGTGTTTTTCAGGTACATAAAGGATCTTCAGATATCATGAACTGCATTTTGTTTATCAATATATACATAATCTTTTCCATTGATAGGACTCGTTTCTTATACATGACAATTCTTGGCCCATCCACATCTTTCGAGGGAAATTTATCAAAATAAAGTCATGACTCGTGACATATAATGACTTCTTAATGACAAACTATACAATCTATTTTTTGAGATCTTTAATATTACTTATTTATGACATTATATACTAAACATTTCCAATTACATACTTTACTATAACTTCTTTATGACATACTACACTAATACTTTTTGAGGACATACTATTATGACATCAAAAAAGATAAAGTATCATATCAAATGACATTTTTAGTTTTTTTTAAAATGCAACACTTTGACTTATTTTTATATTTTTTGACATACTATACTATTACGTACATCTTTATACATTAACATAATCTACCAATACTTGATCATACTATACTATGACTTTATCCATTATATTTTGCACATGTAACCATACTTTTATACATTTTCTTCATAGTTTCTTTTTGAATAATGTACTATGATTTTTTAAATTATTCTTCAAGATACTGTACTATGACAATCTTTTATCATGTTTTAGCCTACCATTCATTGCTATGATATTTTTTGAAATACTTTATAATTACCTTTTATATTTTTTCCCAATAATAATTGTTGTTGTTATTAAATGTTTTGATATTTATGTTTACATACTACTACTTTTATATTTTTGGAAATAATTTACTTTTTTATGACTTACTATACAATTACTTATATCATAGTGTGTATTTTTATGAATTTGTGAGTTTGTTAATGATATTTTTTGACAAAATATATTAAGATTTGTTTACGATCGTATTGACATATTATAGTTTTAGTATTTATTTGACAAGCTATTCTACGACTTTATTCTTATGATTTTCAACATACTACACTACTTTTTCCATTAAAAAAAAAACCTTAATCATATGTTTATTATTTTATTCAGACATCCATTCATCCATTTGCAATATCAATATAAACCACTGATATATCAATATTATGTGCAATAACAATATTTATTTTTCATACATGTTTATGATTTAGTTAGTCTACTGTTTGTATTTATATTTTCATTTATTTCATTTAACTGTTTAAACTATTAATTATGTTTTTCCTGTTTACTGATTTAATATATCTTGTGTTTTGCTTGAATGGTGCCTCTTGTTGTTATACTGTCCCATTTGCTGCGGACAAACTAAACATGTCCCTGCAGTCAAACTAATACAATATTATCTTAGATCATGATTTCCCTTTTTTATGACATACAAAATAGTTTTTTTTATGCCTTACTCCACTATGTCTTTTTTTCTAAGAGATACTATTTGAATACCATACAATGACTTTTCGATATTTTTCAATATACTATTTTATTACTTTTTTCAACTTTCTTTGACATAAACTATGACTTTTTTCCGTATTTTTTCAACATATTTAACTTTTTAGACATACTATACTAAGACTTGTTAAACATTTCTCAACATAATTTACATGACTATTTTTCAACATGCTATACTATGATTTTAAAGAAATATCTTTACTATTTGTGTAATACTTCAGATTTAGCGAACTGAATAAATTCAGATATTTTCCACCAACCAAACAGTGACGATTTTTCTGATATATTTCGACATACTATGTTTATTTCCCTGAACTTCTGTGTCGTTTTTTGTTCATAATGTTTTGTGGCACAGAAGGAAAGTGGATTTTTTTCAATGTCCAGGTTGAAGGTTAAAATCCCAACCCTGCTGTCAACATGTGCATGTGACCTTTGGCAAGATATTTAACTACTAATCCTATTTATTTTGAAAACACATTTTTCGACATTCATTCAACATTCGACTACCGTATGTTGTTTTTTCTGACATTTTCTATACTACAGTTTACTATGACGTTGTTTTTCAGAAATGTTCGGACATATGACCTCTTATTCTGAAAATGTTGACATACTATACTTTGTCGTTTGACTGAACAATCAACACTGCTCCCAGTAAAGCACACACCATGATCTCAATCATATGTTTATTCTTTCATTCAGACATGACATACTAAGTACCATATTATAATCTTCACTTTTGTACAACAGTATTTGTGACATACTGTTTTGTGTTCTTAAGGCATACTTTACCATTGCTTGTTTACTGTTTCCTTGTTTTAATTCCTAATGATACTTTATATATTAAGATAAGCTCAATGTAACAGAAAACATTATTGGCGTTTAATTTAGTATTTTTACATTTCTCAATAAAACAGTAGCATACGTATGAACCTCTTTCAATGACTTTATCTAGCAGTAAAGAACATTACAAAAATCAAAAGTAATTTTTATATTTCATCCATGGTGTCCGCACATATTGTCTAATCTCATCATTTCCTCATTGCTATTTACAGTATAAAAAGAGAACATTGATGCTTCACAGAGACTTAATGTGCTGATGTATGCAGCCCTGTCATCCTACTGTATGTGGCAGCTACATTTTTAAATCAAATATTAATGACAGCTTCACTTTATTGCAATATTAATTTTT